GTGTGTGTGTGTGTGTGTGTGTGTGTGTGTGTGTGTGTGTGTGTGTGCGCACACACACACACCATTACACAGACATAATGTCCCAATGGGCTAACTCTCTCTGTCTGTCTCCTTCTCTCACCCATTCAGTCCATACTCAGTGGTGGAATGGAGATGTGCTAGTAGATCAGTGTCTCAGCGAAGCAGTAATCTGCTTGGCCCCTGTGCTTCTCTGGGATGGCAGATGGGACGGATATCCCTACCCGCCATCTGGACGGCCTGGCATGGACGAGTAGCGGCCGTGGCCTAGTGCAGAGCGAGATCAGGGGATTACTGTCCTCTGCACTGTCCCAGCAGCCCAACTATTTTTACGGACATGTCAAATAATGAGAGTGTGGCCCATGTTACCGGCACTGACATCCATCGAGCTTGACATTTCATGTTCGAGCCTGATGGGAGCCTGTATTGTGCCAGTACAGGGATGTTAGACCTGCATCTTGTATGTGGGATTGACTGCGTGACAACAGCTTATTGAGTGTATTTAGATTGGACTTACATGCACATGCAGTCACTTTAATGAATGCTGCGCTATGGTCAGCTGTGCCTTTTGTATGCGAGGCTCCTCGGGTATTTCACGACCCCCCAGCCGTAAAGTTGCATACGTATCAACTAGGGCCTCTTATTCCTCCCTCAGCTGTCTACCTTGTCTGAAGGAACAGCTCCCAAAACAGCTCTCAGTGTCTTTCTGGAGTTTATGGGCTTCAACCTCAAAACTCAATGTGGTCGCTGCAAAAATGAATGTTTTCCAGCTATTATGACCACATGCAAAGGGTGAAGTGGCTGGAACAATGATGCGAGGAACAGACGAAAAAAAAGGAGGGAATAATAATGGAAAGAAAACAAATTCTGCTCTGCTCTGCATAACTTTCGTTCAGAGGGTGAACACCAAACTAAGAAGACAAACACGAGGCTTGAGGGGAACACTGTGTTCAGCTACATCCTGAACACGAAGTCAGAGAGAGAGAGAGAGAGAGAGAGAGAGAGAGAGAGAGAGAGAGAGAGAGAGAGAGAGAGAGAGAGAGAGAGAGAGAGAGAGAGAGAGAGAGAGAGAGAGAGAGAGAGAGAGAGAGAGAGAGACAGTGAGGGAGAGAGTCAGTGAGGGAGAGAGAGAGAGAGAGAGAGAGAGAGAGAGAGAGAGAGAGAGAGAGAGAGAGAGAGAGAGAGAGAGAGAGAGAGAGAGAGAGAGAGAGAGAGAGAGAGAGAGGTTCTGAAAGGGATGCATGCATAGTTTTAATCATCTGAGGTGGCTGATTTAAAGACAAGTTGCTGAGGGTCACTGGTCAGATCACATGATTGTGTGATTATTTTTAGCACAAATATTTTGAATGTTCTCCCTATTGGTTTTTCTCTCCACCATTTTGCTTTATTTTTTGCCACTCTAGCATCATGGCTCAACCACTTTGGTCCAAACATTCAGAGTCCCCAGAGGATGAATCCGACAGATTTTTCACACTTTTCCTCGATTGGCACTATGAGGTTGACATTTTTGAATATAGGGCAATGTCTTAACTATTGGATGGATTGCCATGATATTTGGTACAATGTTCCCTGCAAGATGAATTTGAATAATTCTGTAGATCCCCTCACTATTCATGTAG